CCCCCCCCCCCCCCCCCCCCCGCTGCTCCTGGCTCTGTCTCATCCTTCCTCCAGGGCTCAGTCCAAAGGCTGTCTCTAGAATGTCTTTCTTTCAGCCAGGCCAACCCAAAAAGTATGCTCTCCCTTTTTGAACCACACTTTGCTCTTAAATTCAATGCCATGAACATTGTCCAGTACCCCATTGTTCTTTAATTGCTCACAGGGGCTGTTCTCATCAGTTAGACACAGCTTTTTGTATAAAGTAGGTAGGACAGAGAAGCTGAATGTCGGCTCTGTGGTTGGACATACGTGACTCCATCACTTTCCAATTATGTGAGTGTAGAGGGGAGAGGTCCTCTCAACCCCTTCTTAGTTCTTATGTGAGCTCTTTGGCTGGATCTAGGAACCCAATTCATTGTATAAGAACTGATTAATAAGAGAAAAGGCATAAAGTTTTATTAAATTTACGTGTATATGAGGATCTTCACAAGAGCATAAAGTCTGAAGAAGCGCCCAAAGCAGGATGCTTTTATATTCTCTAGACAAAGAATAATAAATTTGTATGGTAAAGACAGGACAACTGGCTATCTGGATGAGAGGAGTCAATTAGGGGCCTGTTGCTAAGAGTGCTGAGGGATATATGGGCTGAGTAATCTCCTGAGGCAGAGGGGTGCTGCAATTGGGAAGTTCCAAAAGTCTTGCTGAAGTGGCAGGTAGACACAGGGGATGAGACTTGTAAATGATGGTAAGCAGCTTGGACAGAATTCCAACTGAAAATGACTAAAGATTTGTGGGTGGGAAAAAGACTTAATCAGAACCGCACCATAGGGGGGAAAATTACTCTGGAGGAATAAGAATGGGAGGGAGGAAGGCACTTCGGACGGAGGCTGCTGCTGGACTCAAGGGCTTCTACAGCCTGCCCTCTGCCATCTTCCCAGCCGTATTTTTCTTGAGTTATTTTTTTACATACACCACATGGTCACTGGAACTGAGTGTTTAGAAGTGTAAAGCCTAGTCAAGCTTCGCTGCTTCCAGGCCCTGGTATGAAGGCCATTTTCCCCACTTTTCTCTTTTAAACTTGTTTATTTGTTTGTTTGTTTGGTAGGTTGGTTGGTTTTGTTTGTTTGTTGTTTTGTTTTTAGACAGGGTCTCATACGACTGACCTTGAACTCAAGGTGATCAGGCTGGTCTGGAACTTGCAGCAATCCTCCTGCTTTTGCCTCTTAGATTCTAGGACCACAGGTGTGTACCACCATGCCTTTTTTCCTACCCATTACTTATGCCTGATCATAGTACTTAGCTTATCTGATTTCAATTTATTTATTTAATATCTGTTAATGCTGAATTCTCAACATCTGTGTTCTCTATACTTCAGATACCTTTCATATATCCTGTGAACTAATGGTTTTTATTGTCTTGTGTTATTGGTAGTGCTGGTGAGATAACTCAGGGCCTTACACAGCACTCTATAACTGAACTACATCTTAAACTCAATTTTTTACATTTGAAGTCATGGACTCACATTCCTGTAATTCCAGCATAAGGGAGACTGAGGGAAGAAGATTCCTGCTTGCTCAAAAGAATGTAAGAAACACACCACACACACACACACACACACACACACACACACACCTGCAGTCTGATGCTAACAAGCAGGTGTGGGGCTGGGGTGTAGTTAGTTGGGAGCTGCTTATCTAACAAATAGGGCTTGGATTTTCCCACTTCCCACTCCATAAAGATGCATACCTACAATATCAGCATTCAGGAGGTAGGAACGTTAGACGTTCTAGATCTTTCTCTGATACATATTG